CTTTCAGGTAGCGTGCCATTTCATGCTTGGTGCCCCTCAGCTCACCCTCCAACTCTGCAATGGTGTCCTACATAAAACAGAATAGAATAAGACAAAGTCAAGTCTTTTATAAGTCACAAGGACACAAGGACATATAAACATGAAATGAAAACCTTCATTAATAATAGATTAATATCCAAAAATCAAAAGATCTAAATAACTGATAACACAACATAATAGAATACAGCTGCAGACCTGCATGGCAGCTATCTCAGCACTCTGCTTCTCCTCCATCTCATGTAGCTGCTTCTCTAGGGACTCATTGAGGCCTCTGCATGCATCGATCTCCAGTAGGCGGGCCTGGAGCTGGCGTCGGTACTCTCCTGCTTCGTCCTTGGAGCTTCTCACGGCGTCACTGTGCTGGGCCACAGTTTCAGTCATGGAGCCCACCTTCCCTCTGAACCAATCCTCTGCTGCCTGCATGTTTCTTGCTGCCAGCCTTTCATACTGGGACCGGATGTCCCTGAGAGCCCCAGAGAGGTCTGGAGTTGCGGCCTCAGACTCTACCGCCACCTGGACGCCGAGCTGGACCTGGGCCTGAAGCTCGGCCACCTCACCTTCATGAATCCTCTTGAGGAAGGCAAGCTCCTCCAGGAGAGTTTCGATGCTCTTCTCCAGCTCAGCCTTAGCTAAGTTGGCCTGGTCTGACTCACGACGGGCCTCCATCAGCCTGCCCTCAGCCTCTTCACGAGCCAGCACTTCCTCCTCATATCGACCCTGCAGGGCGCTCAGGGTTTGTTCAAGCCGCTCTCTTTGTCCAAGGACAGCCTGCTGTTCTGCCCTGGCTTGATCCACAGCTGCTCTGAGAGACCGGGCCTCTTGCTCGTACAGCGCCCTCAGGCGGGACGGCTCATGGTACCTCTGCCTCAGCAGCAGCAGCTCTGCCTCCAAAGCGCGGTTCTGTTGCTCCAGCTCACGCACTCTCTCAATGAAGCCAGCAAAGCGGTCGTTGAGGTCCTGCAGCTGGCTGCGCTCTTGGGTGCGTATGGTGCGGAAGTCAGAGCTTATCTGGGCTGCCTGGCTGAGCTCCAGCTCCAGGGAAGAGGCTTGCGAGGAGGAGGAGAGCAGCACCCGGCCGGGAGAGGAGTACTGCAGACGGGAGGAGGACAGCGGGGAAGCATGGGAGGAGTAGACGGAGTGGGTCCTCCCTCTGGTCACAACACGAGGGGGTGCCTCGACATACCAGCGTTTGTATGACGTGGAGTAGTAGGGGTCATATCCAATGCTACTCATGGCTGAGTGGTGGGAGGACCGGCTGCTCTCCCTCTCCTCTTTGTGTATGTGCCTGTGTGGAGGTGTGTGCAGGGCTGAGGATTAAGCCTCGACTGCTTGCTGCTGCAGCAGGCTGAGCTTTTATAGCAGGACAGTGAGCTCTGACGCAAGCGCTTTCCCCAAACTCTGACAATGCAGACTCGATAGGCTTACACTGCAACAGCAAGAAATGAGACGGGCAGGAACTATGGGAATGAGCGTAGGAGGGAAATGACTGAGGGTGAAAGATAGAGAATACACAAATGCAAACAAAACAAGAAACAGAACACAACGCCACATTTAACATAGAACCTAAACCTGGACTTTGATCACAGCAATACTGCAAATAACTGTGATGCACTTTGTTAGGAGTTCCATATTTTATATAGAGCAAAAACATGCCTTAAACGTACTTGCCATACTGTCCTCACTGCAGGAGGGTGGGTGGGGGGTCTGATTTAACAATCTTGTGACACAGCATCTCTCCTTCTGGTGGAGAGCAGAACCACAGCCATGACCTCAAAAGACCTAAAGACCTACAACGAAAATATATGAATAAAGATTAAATAGTAACAATTAAAAAAAACAAAAAATGTATGTATTTATGTATGTATATATAATCCCTTTATGTTAATTGTATTCAGTATAAAGTCTTAGCTTTTGTTCTGTATTTTTTTCTCACTCAAAAGGACCTTATGGAAAATGAACAGCGTGGATTATCTGAGTTCACCAACACAGGCAGAAACAAAAGTTGCTGGCCTGTACATGTCTTGAATATGGCAGTAATTTAGTGTGATACGTTGTTTTGTGCTTAAATTAAAACTGTAAACACAATGGGAACAGCATATTGTCTGTGCCAGTACCACAATACATTTACAGTGTTTAATAAATAAGACATAATGTTGTCCTGATGATTTGACATGGGAGAAAGCAACCGTCATTATTCATACTGTACCTATTGTTACAAAAAAAAAAAAAAAAAATTTAATTTTGAAAGAAAGGTTTTTGTCAGTGCAAGGAAAGTCCCTTTTGCCCTCTGTCAGGTTGTTCTTTCAATTATATAAAGACAAACAGTCCCTCATCTGCAGCACAGATACCCTGACAGGTCAATTACACCTAGCTGCTGACATGCATTTTCTTTTTTGTGTGACTGCTGTGTGTGTCTGTGCAGTGGCTCCCTGAAAGCTTATGTTAGGAAATTCACCTTCTTTTTGAGCTCCATGCATAAATGAAGTGTATTGCAGTGCTTTGCAGCAATATCTGTGTGTGTTTGTGTGCAAGTTGTGCATGCGTGTCTTTGTGTGTGTGTGTGTGTATGTGCATGATCCACAATGTGCACAATCCAGTAATTTGCCTATGCAGCAAAGCCCCCCCCAGTACCTACAGACAGCGCTGTGCCCATACAGAAGTAAGGCAGGCAGTGAGAGGTGGACTTCAGAGGGAGCTGCATGCACTCTGCTGCAGGCTGAGTCATCATTACAGATGTGATCACGCAAACTCCCCTGTGTACACTCTTTCCCACCTTAACAGCAATCCGACAACCTGCACCAGGGCCATTTCTGGTAGACAAGATGCTTACAGGACATGGGAAAATGAAAGAGAGAAAGTAGACCATTAACTTCTCTTCCCAAGCTAATTAACTCACTTACAGAGCTAATTAACTATGTTGGTGCTTGTTTATTAATTAATTCATGCTCTTAGCATCAAAGTCCATGCTACCCACAGAACAACACAACACTAAATGCCATTTTACATTGAAGTGGTGGCAGGTACAATGTTTATCTAAAATTTGTGATGTAGAGGACCACTGATTCACCGGGATTGGTACATGCTTAGTGGCCATAGTGGTGAACACTTTAAAGGCACTTAAATAGGGCCACTAGGGGGCAGACAATCATAAAAACAAGCTGATGGATGCAGAGCGACCATCATAAATAACATTGGCTGCTTTATCTTTTATCAGACATGGAATAAAATTTGCTTTACAATTATAATAACATTCAGCCAGACAACAAAACAAACAATACAAATGTATTCTGTTGCTAATCTTACAAAGGTATGCAGGTCCAAAGGTATAACTAAAGCATACAATTGAAAATGTTTGCCTACAGGGGTTGATGAGAGTGGTGAGACTGAACAAATCAAGTGTGCCATAAACTAGTTTTCATACAAATGGTCACTTCACCATAGATCCAGAGTCACCCAGCCACAAAAAGGGACATCCAGTGTTTGTTCCATTCAGCATCATTCTTGGTAGTTCATGCTTTGTACAATGCAGTAATCTAACCTCTTTTCATGATCACATGATGCTGGTTGGCGTTGCGCCTGGAATTCCATTAAGATTATATTTTGGGACTATTGTATATCTCTTATTTTGGATCATGATTTGATTGGGAGCGCCGGGAGACAATGACTTTGCCTGACAGCTTTGGCTCTGCGGCTTAGTTTCATCAGCACTTTTATCTTTATCCTGTAAATCTGAGTGCATCTCTGCTTCCCAACATTACATTTCATGAAGGATACTGCAGCATATTTGTCTTCGATAATTTGTCTCAATGGCATATTATGTTTCCTATAGGGTGGAACACTAGGCATTTCTCAACCCAAGGTTCAGAATAACTTGAAGTAATTAAGTATAATAACAGTATGTTGTGGTGATCCTGAGACAGAGCAATTTCCTATGGCAGGGCAGCCGATTGATCTTTTGCTGTACAGTCATGCTTGTACAACAAATACAATTACTAAGACCAAAATCATGGTATTTATATGTACATCTAACAGATTCTTACTAAAATAAAATGCCAGGCTTCATCAGCCTTACTTGATGCAGTGTGAAATGTTGCATGGTGCATGCAAAAAAAAGCATTTGTGTAACTGATCCTAGAGCAACTCCTAGAGGTGATGTATAAAAATAACACTTCATAAAGTCCTGCCTGTTTAAGATTTAACATAGAGACTTTATGATGCCCAGCCTTTATGAGTCAGGATGTAGTTCAAGATCTTTGGGGAGGATTTATTTAAAAAAATTATAAAATATTTAATAAAAACACCCTGTACTTTTGTATACCCCTTTTATGTATTTAGCTTATTCTTTTTACCTTAATTATCAATAATTATTATACATAGTAGTGAGAGTAGTAGCAGAAGTATCTGCAGCTGTGGTAGTCAGTTAGTTGCATCATTTGTGTTGCTGTCATTGACAGCTACATGTACAGTAGGAGAAAGCATGAGTGCATACTGTATGCAGCTGTTAACTCAGATGTGTTTTGGCAACATGTTGCCCATGGCTTGTCCCCTACCACAGTGTTGAAACTGAGTGGATCTGTATGAGCCTCATTGTCATTGTTAAACTTGCAACAAATGCCCAAATATTTACGTAACATTAGAACTCAATACTGTGTAATGACATGCCATTTCTCTCTCAGTGTTCATCTCAGATTGAGGTGCCTCTCTGCAGCCAACTCTGATCTTTCACTTTTGTTCCACAGACCTCAGTGTAAAAGTCATGTTGCTATTTTGGCTCAATATCTGACCTATGGCCTTCCCAGTCACTGCATGTCCTACCAGCCCAGCAGATGTCTGGTTCTATTGGCTAGCCTTGTATGTCCATCAGAGTATGAATGCCTCTCACAGGTGGAAAGCAAAGGAGGCCTGTCTGCTATGCACTGTCACTGTTTAGGCTGCTATAAAAAGACTGTGGTATGCTGACTTGGGCTCACTGTTGGTCAACCAGTGTGTGTGCTTAGAACTTAGAAGGGCTGAGGGCACCGTGTTTTGGTTTAAGGTAATATCATCAGACACACTGTAAGCATGGCTGCCGTCCATCGTTTGGTTATTGTCCGCCACGGTGAGAGCTCCTGGAACCAAGAGAACCGCTTCTGCGGCTGGTTCGATGCTGACCTCAGTGAGAAGGGTTTGGAGGAGGCCAAGCGTGGAGCCCAGGCTATCAAGGATGCGGGCCTCAAGTTTGATGTGTGCTACACCTCCGTGCTGAAACGTGCTGTCAAGACTCTGTGGACCATCATGGAAGGCACAGACCAGATGTGGCTGCCTGTGATTCGTACCTGGCGTCTGAATGAGCGCCACTACGGAGGCCTCACCGGTCTCAACAAGGCCGAGACGGCTGAAAAGCACGGTGAGGAGCAGGTGAAGATCTGGCGTCGTTCCTTTGACATCCCACCTCCACCCATGGACAAGGACCACCCTTACAACAAAATCATCAGTGAGGTGAGATAATGGAAACTAAGGGAGAAGAGTTGTTGACTAATTTAGAAAAACCAATACATTTATATGATTTTTCTCACTAATTAAAGTGTCCTTAAAGATCTGCTTCAACCAATATCATAAAACGGGCATATAATGTTTGCTCAACATTCTTATCAGTCAGTAACTGTTTATTGTTGTGGGAGTAAACTACATTCTACTGTTCTTACTACCTCCAGTCACGGCGCTACAAGAATCTGAAGCCCGGTGAACTGCCCACATGTGAGTCACTGAAAGACACCATCGCCCGTGCCCTGCCCTTCTGGAACGACGTCATCGCCCCAGAAATCAAGGCGGGAAAGAATGTTATCATTGCTGCCCACGGCAACAGCCTCCGTGGCATCGTCAAGCACTTGGAGGGTGAGCATTACAGCTTGTAGGTGGACAAAGCTTAAAAAAACCAGCAGATGAAGAAGGAAGTTCTGCAGTGAAAAGGAGAAGTGAATGTGGACATTATGAAATCACGACACCACAAAATGGCAGATAGCAAATTAACCACAGATTTTGGTTTGAAAATAGATTTCATTCAAGGCCAAGACCTAAATGATCACAGGCAGACATAGTTGTTCATTACAGTGCATAAAAATAGCATGCAGGGACTCCAGAGCTCAGAGACAGGGGAGAGGGTCATGAGCTTGGTTCCCATTACAGTCACGACCTTTATGTAGAAAGGTTGTACTTTGTCAAGAAGTAGCCAGACATGGATAAGGGAGTTATATAGCCAGAAAGCCTCAATGGCTTTAGTAAATGTCAGATAGGAATTGTAGGTGTCAGGGTGAGGTATGAGGGAAAGAAGTAGATAAAGTTTCTTCTTTATAAGTTACACATTGCTGTAGTGAAAATAACTTAAAATACAAACTAAATATAATGAAAACCTGCCTACTTTTATTATGTAAGACCTCTTTCCTTCCTGTCCTCATAGCTGGGCCCCAGACAGCCTTTTGGTGTCTTTCATTTACTCTATTTTGTCTGCTGATCTGCCTGTCTTTCCAGATATGTCTGATGCAGCCATCATGGAGCTGAACCTGCCCACAGGAATCCCAATTGTGTATGAGCTGGACGCAAACCTGAAGCCTGTTAAGCCCATGTCTTTCCTTGGTGATGAGGAAACCGTAAAGAAGGCGATGGAGGCTGTGGCTGCCCAGGGCAAAGCCAAGAAGTAAGCCTGCTCTGGTAGTTCCGTGAGGAGGCAGAAAAAGAGACTGGTTACCCCCATTGTCCTTCAACATCTCCTGTTATCCATTTGTCCATTCCAAATGGGGAAATGATTCTTTTGGAGGCGAGCCACCATTTTCAGCACATTTTCAGCTTTTTCTTTAAATGACAGACAGAGGTCTGACCTGTCAGTTCAAGCAGACAGACATTTTTGGCAGCCACACGTCACTCAGCCCTTAAAAATGTTGAGGGTCTCACCACCCTGGCCCAACCAATAAAGAAACCATGTTTTTATGTAGGCCTGTGTCTGTTTAATTTTTCTCCTCATCTTCTCATGTCTCTTTCCCCCTTTTACTTTCTTCAAATTACATTGTCATCCCTATCTATAACACCTATTCTTCTTCAGTTTCACACTTGGAAATCAGTGGTTTCAGCAAAGTGTCGAAGGTGCTGTGAAATCCTATCCAGGATGTAGAGAGGAGGAGGAGGGGGGAAAAGAGAGAGAAACACAGTCTGAGACAAGTCAGTGAGTTCACCTTGGCAGCATTCCCATAATGCAGGAAAGAGCTTTTGCCTGTCCTCCCCTACAGTCAGATCAAACTAAGAAGTGCAAAGACAATAGTTTTGTGCAATTACCTTTCAAATACAAGGGTTTTGGTCACAGCCAAGTCATGTCCTGTTGGACCAACTGACAGGTGACAAATCAAAGGAAAACCCTGAATAAGCGAGTGAAGGATCATTACTAATAGCCTACACATGCTTTTAGGAGTGGTCTGTTTCAGGAGCATATAATGCCACCATGTACAGGACACAAAGCTAACTCACAATGACAATGCTAGGATGTTGATGTTCACAATGTTCACCCTTTTACTTTAGCATGTTAGCATGCCAACATTAACTCTTAACCAGTTTTTAGAATTCATCCGAGGAGAGCGTGAATGTACAACATTTCAGTTTCAATTCATGTATCAGTTGTTGAAGACATTTCAGTCTGGACCAAAGTGGTGGACTGACACTGTTATACACCCTTATGAGTTTACTTGTGACGAGCACAACATTTTTATGGCACAGCTAGGGGGCTTTTAAATATCTGACTATATTTCTATACACATAATTGATTTGTGTATGTGCACTCAGATAAATTATTTCCCCTCTTTCAATCACGTTACAATGAAGCACAAGTAACACATTATGTCCAGTAGCATTCACCAAATCAGTTTATTTTAGGATTGGCATGGCCTTAGTTTATCCTTAAACATTACTTTCTGAGGTTTAGACAACATGACACCACATTATATTTCATTAGTAAAAGACAGTATCAGACAAAAACACCAGAAGTTCAGCTGGACAGCAGAGAGGAAGGAAGGTAAAAGATCCTGGTTCAGAGTTGCACCTAACGCTGTCATGCCATCTATTGGCCACTAAGGGAATATCAGCTGAGTGAGTGAACTAATAAACAAATCAAACCAGAATGTGTTCTGCATATAAAGATGTGGCTGTGGTTGATGTTTTACAACAACTGTTTTTACCAATGTATTTATCGTAATGGAAATGGAGCAATTATGCCATGTCTGAAACCATGTCTGGGGTTGCAGCAATTTACCTTTTGACAGTCCTTTTAGGCTTGACCACAACATCATGTCACTTTCATCTGACGGGTCAATATCAAAGCAGTTTAAATTCCTTATTCAAGCCAAAAATAAAAGCTTCCTCATTATCCTTTAGCTGGGAAAAAGCATTTGAGGGGGCAGACAGGCACTGTACCATAAAATCAAGAAAAGTGTGTTCCATCGAGCTCAGGCTTTGATGTTGATCGGGATGTTTGGTGCAGTCTGTGTTCAAACGAGTTCAGGAGCTCAGTCATATTTTAAGTCTGAGGGGTTTGATCTGTAGCACTTTCAGCAGCGGTATTCCTCTTGAAGAAGTTGGGGAGAGACGCTATCTTGTATGGATTTTTCTTGTATGCGACTGCTTTATTGGTTTCTGCTTTCGACGTGTCTACATACTCGGCAGCACTCATCACATTCTTTTCTATGTTGTTGATCAACTCCCCCTGATAGATAAAAAACATAATTAACACCAGTTAGGTTTTGGGTTGACTGACATCAGTATATCCCTTTATATCTATAACATTTCCAAACGAGGAGGCCATCTTACCTGACTCTCCAACAGCATGGCAGTGTCAGCAAATATCTCGTGCATCTCTCTGATGCTGGACTCGAGGCAGATGATATCCTGATGACGAGATTCAATCTCACTCAGAGCCTGGCTTGAAATCCGAGCGTCAGGGTTGACCTTTGAAAGGAAAAGATTGCTAGTTGTTTTTATAATGATCATTTAAATGGCTTCACGCCTTAAAGAGCTTATTTGAGAAAAATCTTATTTATCTGCAGTCTGAACTAAGCCTCGGTGATCAACAACAAAAACAAAACTACAGTAGGTTTAACTAAAATAACTGAAGGAAATCCCACTAACATCAGATATGAAGATTGATAGATTGTCACGGTGCAGCATCTCCTCCAACTCTTCATCTGTAGTCACTTTATCCACTGAAACAGAGACAAAACAGACATTTTCAGGCAATTCGCAGGACGTACAGGTAGGTCTGTCATATCAGAAACATACCAAATGGATGTCCACAGGCATTTGTGACAGATTACCCATCGCAAAATAGACAATTTAATAAGAAAACAAAAACAAAGAATTACCACGCCACGCTGTTGTATGCCTCCATCAAACAGTCAAATGCAGTTTACAGCTTTAATCTTAAGAAACTGCAGAGCTGCAGTCTGTATTCATTAGTCACTGTAACTTACACTGTACATTTACAGCTAAACTGAGGCTTATTGTTGAGCCTTTTCTCTCTGCTTGGCTGCCATTCACCGGCCTTGTGCAGAGTTGTGCATGCCCGCCGACTCGCCAAGAACTGCATGCACTCTGTGGTTCCTCACAGGTCTATTCTGTACTGTGATAGAATTTTCTTTGTGTGATTCATCAATGGTGATAGATTATTCAAATGTCCCACAAGCATAACTCAGCATAACACTGGCGCAGCTGGTACGGTCTTTCGTCCTCTTCTGCCATACATGCTACGCCACACATGAGCACTCACGCCATCCACCTTAAGGGTTAGGGTTACAATTTTGGATTTATTCACACACTTTAAAAAGATTTATTAAAAGCTTTTTTCTTTTCACATTTTTATTTACAGCATAATATGTTACTATTTATTTCATAATAGGCTGTATATTAACATGTATGTAAAATCAGATGTTGAGCACCCTCATACAGCCAAAATGGCATGATCCTTGCATCATAATGCTGTTGCGAAGATTCGACTGTGAGACTGGCAGTCCAATCAGGCTCCTTCTATTGAAGCATTGGATCTTCGACTATTCAGGGTCACCCCTGTTATAGAGCAAGAATTAACATGTATTTTTGGATGTTCACCGCAAGATAGAGTAATTACACCTCTACAACTCCCTACTGCTATGCCACTTTCTCCTAACCAAGATACTTTTGGGCATCTATTCATAGGATGAAGTCCATTAACGCAACACTGAGCAGAGTGATGGAAGGAACAAGAGTTAATGTGTTTTGGTTCCATTTGTTTTTGGCAACTCACCAATCTCCAGCTGTCTCTGAATGTGTGCTTTGCATTTCTCTCGGACAGTGATTTGCGCCTTGTGGTAGCCCCTCATGACTTCAGCAAACCACCGAGTTAGGTGAGAGTGCTGGTGAAAGGTATTCAACAGAATTTAAAATTAGATTATTGAACCAGAAATTAAAAAGGAAATCATTTAAACATCAATTTTGTACCCAGACCACGGTCAGTAGTGATTTTGTCAGGTGCGTAAAGATTGAGGCCTCTTTGAAATAACTTGTTTGTTTTTTTCCCCTCGAGGATGTAAAAACTCAGAGCTGACTATCTTTATGCACCTGGTTCATTCCAGATATAAATATACTACCAGACCTGGTTCTTCTGAATACGCTGGATTACTGATGCACTTTTACGGTTCTCATCCACAGGCAGGTCCTTTTGCATTGCTGAAACAACACACACAAGACTGATATCAACTTCAATTAAAACTCAACACACTATTCACACCTCTGTGCATGCAGTCATAGAAAACAGATGTTGGTTAAATTATTGTTTTCAGTGACTTCTGTATCTTCCTACAATCTGGGTTTTGTTATTCTGAGACAGTGAGTTTACTGAAGAACACCACAGTGGAGTGCAGTAGCCTTCCTTTTCTAACCATTTGCAAGTCAAATCCTGTGTTATGCACTATGCAGTCCCACAGTTTGAGGAAGTGCTGCACAGTTCCTCCTCCTCATCTCAAACAGAAATGGTACACAGCCATATAATGATATTAAACTTGTTTAATGGGTGGTGATGGCGCATAGATAAGATGCTTGCCTTTGGTGTGGGAAACCTGGGTTCAACTCCCACTGTGAGCAAGACACTTAAGTTGCTCCAGAGGCCTCTAAGATGTGTAGCAATTGTAAGTCGCTTTGGATAAAAGCGTCAGCTAAATGAATAAAAAATGTAAATGTAAAAAAATAATAACTTTGCACAATGAAAAACTGTTGTATCTGCACTAGTGGGTAACACCAGAGTGGGTAACACCAGAGTGGATTTTCACTCCTCTCCCATCCCACTCCCACAAAAATACACCTGTCCTGTCCCATTCAGTTGCCGGAACTTAAAAGAAAAAAATATTTAAAACCATAAAAATAGCGTTAATTCGTATTAGAAGTGCCTTTATTATTATATTAAAACTGATCTGATTCCTGTCCTACCCACTCCATTTATGAAGAGTGAAATTGACTCCCATCCTACGGGAATCCCATGACCCACAGGATTCCCAAAAAATGTTAGCCTCTAATCTGAGCTAGTTGTTTTACATCCCAACTATAGTATGAGACCAATCAACATCTATCGTGCAAAAGCACATTGTCAAGGATAAAAAAATAAAGTAAGGGGTGCACCCCATGTACAAGGCTGAGTCCTTAATGCAGCAGTCCAGGTTTGAATCCAGCCTGCCGCCCTTTGCTGCGTGTCGCCCCCTTATTTCTCTCTCCCCATTTCCTCTCTCTATCCAATTTCCTATCAAATAAAGGCAAAAAATGCCCCAAATATGTATTTATATTTAAAAATCCACTTACATTTTAACTTGGCCTGGACCAAGGTGGCGATCTTCTTGGTCTCCTTGTCCAGCAACTCCAGCTCACCTTTGTTTCCCGAAAACATCATAGCAAGTTCAATCCATAGAAAGAATCATTTCATTACACGGCGGGGTGCTTTTCATGCAGCAAGTTTTGGTGATCCCTTGCATCTAAAGAATGGTTGGGTTTTTATATGCAGTGTGTATTTGTCTTACTTCTAGATTAAACAAGTTTAATATTCTGATAATGGCAGCTTTGTCAATATTCCCTGTATCATTTCACCTCACAAGATCCCAGACAAGTGTTGTGCCGAATTCTGCATGCCTGCCGGGAATTGCATGCACCTCGCGGGTGATAACGGTCATTTATGCTGAGAAAAGAGGTTAATGCAAATCTCGGCAGGTAGCCTACAAAATTTGTTCTGCCGAATTATGCATCAACCTTTTTAGGTCCTTTTCAGACACTTTGCTGTGCTCATTGATCAAACGTGGTTATCAACACCACATATATTTACTGAATGTCAAGGAATGGTACTTCTATTAAGTTTATTAAACATTCATAAAATATATACTTCGAATCATTTATCACCATTGATGAACCCCACAAAGAATATTATAGCATTTAAAAGCAGAAGGCCTATTTGGAGGTGCATGCAATTCTCAGGCAGGCCAAACTCGGCATAACACCGGCTCATTTAGGCGGAATTTAGCTTATCAGCCAATCAACATTTCTCAATAAAGTTTTATTTTCAGCTCCAGTGGGGCTTTATCCTTGTGTAGGAGCACAAGTTCAAACATCCTCTCCTTGCATTGAATCCCTGCAAAACCCAAGTTGTCATTATTAATAAGTGCATTATAAAAGTATATATTAAATTGCCTAAAATTATGTGGCTCTGATTAACGTCTATAGCTTGTTTTTATTCCATGAAATCACCCTACAGAATACCTGTCCCCCCCTCCTCCTCACACCACACAAACACACACTCAGGTGTTTGTCAAAGGCAGTGTTGTCTTCTTGTTTATGTTTCTGTGTTTCTCTTCTCAATGCTGTGTGCCCTGAAGGAGGGTTGGGGGGGGGGGATCTCTGAGAGCATCAGCACAGAACAGTGAGGGTATCAGGTTTCTACTTTTCTATCATTGGAAAACTTGTTAGTCATCTCCAAACAGATAGCCCACGTTTAACTACGATGACGGCGCTCTGTGCTTACTCTTGTCTTGGTTTGGAGTGGAAAGGATGGCGCGATGTCTTCTCTCCACCTCCTTCGCTTGACGAGAGATTTTTTCAATGAGGCTCCTCACCTCCTCCACCTACATACACACACACACACACGCTTGCATTGGGCTACTGGACATAGGCTACATGACAAGACAAAACCAGCCACAACCTGTGGGAAGTTTACCGTTTTGAAAATATCCTCCATGTTGACTGTGCTCTCTGCTGTCATTATCCCGATGCTGCTGTAAAATAAACAACAGGGAATTCATTAGGCTACTTGAAATGTCCACCTGTAGCGCCAGGTAAAGCGTCCTTTGAACGTTAACGCCTGCTACATTTATGAGGAGTAGGCTATTGAACGATGAAACAAAAATCCGCTTTGCAGCCATACGTACCGTAGCTGAATGTTTTCAGGCGACCAAGTCTTTTAGTGTCCCCCGAACTGTTGCTAATAAATACTTAGCCTACAGATGTCATGCGCTCCGCATTATCACAGCAACAAAGAAAAGTAAGACGTCGCCGGTGTTTCTGCTACTTTCGGTATTGACGATCATGTTCGACCTCTACCTGCAGTGTGTCCTCTTGTGTGCTGAGCGCACCTGTTTAAAAGAAAGCGCGAGCACGCAGGCGCGTTATCGTCCAAACTAGCAAACAAAGAAACTAACCGCCACCTGGGAAAGGTACACAGAGCAGGTGCAACAACAGAAACATCTATTCATTGTGTTTGAAATTGCGCGTTTGAGGTGTTTTTTAAGTGTAGTAAACACCTGCTATAGCCTACCTTCACATTACACCAGTAACTCCTGATCATGTATTTTTCTTCATTTTTAATTTTTTCTCTAGTGGACATTATCCCTGAAAAATAAATAGGCTATACTAAATCAACCTATATCAAACCTGAAGGGATTGTGTGCTGTTTTTCGTAAAGATCCATTGTCTTTGAATACTTTTTGACAACTGTATTCCTCCCCCCAGTCTTTTAACTCTTAATTATCGCTTCTCCCTTACTTCCTAGCACGAACCGATGCCAAACCAAGCTGCAAGATCCCTGTCAGCCCTTATTTTGACTGTTTATATATATGGTAAACATCAAAGTCAACTGTATATTTACTCTGCTGTTGCCTGAACTGTAACTGCAAATGTCAGGCAAGTGCTTTTTGCGCAGGTGCAGCTTAATGGATGTCTGTATCTTCTGACAAATTATGGGAGAGTGCTTGTTAGGGATACATTTATATTTTTATGAGGCACATAGACTGACACACTTTAAATAAACAAGATGCATGCTGTAGTGCTGTACTGTACTGTAGTTGGCTTGCATACACAATATGTTGTTCCATGTCTTATTAATGGTGAGCTCTGGTTAAAAAGAAGGCCCTCAGATATAATTATAAATAGTTACAGTTTCAAATGGATCCCAACTGCAGTTAAGAAATAAACTGTTCAGTTAGACATTTTTGAGGCCAAAAGTCTTTACATCATTAGATCACAGACATTAAAAAAAAAAAATAAATAATACACTTTAACTGTTCTGTGTCTCCACAGACCCTTTATCACAGCAGGGTGGACACAGCCACAGTCAAAAAAGTGAATTTGATTGATTGACATTGATTTTATTGATAATAATATTAACTATTGTTAATACTGGTCTAACTAAGTCAAACCTTTTAACCTTAAATAATTTGGAATATTTCAGTAACAAATTAGAGAAGATATTCCTGAAGAAGTTGCGGTGTGAATGCTGTCTGCTGAAGGGCTTGCGCTAAACGGAAGTGCTGTCTTGAACAAATCTGAATAGTACAAATGTATGAAAGATGTGGAAGGTTTTGTTGTAAAGCTGATGGTAAACTGAATTGCTGTGGGCAGACTAATCCCCACAAGCGATGAGCCCAGTGAGGGTGGTGTCATCTGCACACTTCAGGAGCTTGGTGGTCTGGTTACTGGAGGTGCAGCTGTTTTTGTTCAGGGAGGAGATCAGAGGGAAAGAACACAGCCTTGAGGGTAACCAGTGCTAACGGTCCTGGAGTCAGAAGCACGTTTTCCAAGCTTCATGTGTCGCTTCCTGTTGGACAGTAAGTCTGTGATAAACCCGCAGGCATGCTTAGCTGGGAGAACGTGTCCTGCAGCAGAGCTGGAATAATGTTGCTGAAGGCAAAGTAGTAAGAAGGAGTTGATGTTTCCTTTCTTTGTTGAAGTAAGGATTAAACATCAGCTGACGTCTAAGAATTCACAGAAGTTGAACTATGTCCACTGCAATGTGTACTTAATGAAGTTCAGACCAGGAAGATTATCTTTAAGCTATATCTATTCACATCTCTCTCTCTCTTCCCACTTCTCTAATCAACTATGTATATTTGGTCTTTTGAAAACCAATCACATAGTCACTTTTTTTTCTCTTTTGCTGCAATCAGCTGTCATGCGAAATCGCTGCAGCCCTCCTCCGCCCCATTCACCTCAGTTCATCATATCCAGGCCCAGTTTAAGCTCATCACATCCAGATCTTCGCCATTTTGTTTATCCCATCATTACCACCAGTGACTAGAATCCATTGATGGTGTGCTTTCTTTACCACTGTGTGTGTTTATGACCATGTGTCTGTCTGTTACTGTTGTCACTAACACCTATGTTGTTCTGCCTTTTAGCTGCTGTGAGAAACTTTGTGGCAATAGTTAGCAGTCTTATCAGTATCACTACAAGTTCACATGCATCAAATATATTCAATATCAACTGCTCCAACAGAACTACTATAAATAATACTTTAAGGGCTTAGATTAAAGGTGTGATGAAACACTTACCCCATGTAACATAACATTGCACAAGACTGGGGCCAAGACAAAAAGGCAAGAATATATTTTAGAAAAAAAAAATTTATTGATGAAATATTCGATAAGGAGGTCTGGGGGTCCTCTCCCAGGAGATTTTGAGCATTCTAGAGACATTTACTGCACCAAGGAAGCACATAGTTCAGGTGGCAGGTGACAACATAAAAATATAATAGAATGCAGTAATCATTAGCTTATTACCTTAAGCTATCTGTTTGGAGATGATTAACAAGTTTTCCAATGATAGAAAAGTAGAAACCTGATGCCCTCACTGTTGTGCTGATGCTCTCAGAGATACACCCCCTACCACACAACACTGAGAAGAGAAACACAGCAACATAAACAAGAAGATGACACTGCCTTTGACAAACACACCTGTGTGTGTGTATGTGTGGTGGCGGGGAGGGGGCATTCTGTAGGGTGATGCATGGAAAAAAACAAGCTGTAGAAGTTAATCAGAACCACAGTGAACACATTTTTAGGCAATTTAATATATACTTTTATAATCCACTAATAATAACAACAACAACTTGGGTTTTGCAGGGATTCAGTGCAAGGAGAGGATGTTTGAACTTGTGCTCCTACACAAGGATAATGACCAACAATGATTAACAAGCCCCACTGGAGCTGAAAATAAAACCATCTTAAACATGTGGTTGCTCACCACATGCCATGTTATTGAGAAATGTTGATTGGCTGATGATAAGCTAAATTCCAGCTAAGAGTTTGGCCTGTCTGCCGAGAATTGCATGCACCTCCAAATAGGCCTGCTGCTTTTAAACGATATAACATTCTTTGTGGGGTTAAATTAATGGTGATAAATGATTCAAAGTATATATTTTATGAATGTTTAATAAACTTAATAGAAGTACCATTCCTTGACATTCAGTAAATATATGTGGTGGTGATAACCGCGTTTGATCAATGAGCACAGCAAAGTGTCTGAAAAGGACCTAAAAAGGTTGATGCATAATTCGGCAGAACAAATTTTGTAGGCTACCTGCCGAGATTTGCATCTTTTCTCAGCATAAATGACCGTTATCACCTGCGAGGTGCATGCAATTCCCGGCAGGCATGCAGAATTCGGCACAACATTTTATACATATTTTTTACATATTGACAAAGCTGCCATTATCAGAATATTAAACTTGTTTAATCTAGAAGTAAGACAAATACACACTGCATATAAAAACCCAACCATTCTTTAGATGCAAGGGATCACCAAAACTTGCTGCATGAAAAGCACCCCGCCGTGTAATGAAATGATTCTTTCTATGGATTGAACTTGTTATGATGTTTTCGGGAAACAAAGGTGAGCTGGAGTTGCTGGACAAGGAGACCAAGAGGATCGCCACCTTGGTCCAGGCCAAGTTAAAATGTAAGTGGATTTTTAAATATAAATACATATTTGGGGCATTTTTTGCCTTTATTTGATAGGAAATTGGATAGAGAGAGGAAATGGGGAGAGAGAAATAAGGGGGCGACACGCAGCAAAGGGCGGCAGGCTGGATTCAAACCTGGACTGCTGCATTAAGGACTCAGCCTTGTACATGGGGTGCACACTCTACCAACTGAGCCAGCTGCACCCCTTACTTTATTTTTTTATCCTTGACAATGTGCTTTTGCACGATAGATGTTGATTGGTCTCATACTATAGTTGGGATGTAAAACAACTAGCTCAGATTAGAGGCTAACATTTTTTGAGAATCCTGTGGGTCATGGGATTCCCGTAGGATGGGAGTCAATTTCACTCTTCATAAATGGAGTGGGTAGGACAGGAATCAGATCAGTTTTAATATAATAATAAAGGCACTTCTAATATGAATTAATGCTATTTTATGGTTTCAAATTGTAATTTATTTTTTTTAATTCCGGCAACTGAATGGGACACGAATGGGACATGACAGGTGTATTTTTGTGGGAGTGGGATGGGAGAGGAGTAAAAATCCACTCTGGTGTTACCCTCATGTAACAAAATAGTTTGTTGCATTATGACTACGTATGCTACTATGTTGCCAAATATGGCAACATAATGGCCATTTAGTCCACACTACTAAGTAGAAAGTTGGACGACGTTCCAATGTCAGACACTACTGTCCACCAAGGAAGTCAACTATTGCTATACTTGTATTATCTTCGCTTAATATATTGAAGAATTCACGGCATCTGTGCAGCCTTGTTTATTCACTTTGTCCATGGAAATGATGTTGAACGCAGCCATAAAAGATATGGTTTCCTCACTAAAAACATTTACTTTTCCCATCACTGCATAACTCATTAATGTGTGTTATTTGTGATGCTATAATGAGCCTGAAGCACAAGTTATTTGAATCTGAGACTATCTGTACAGCTGAGAATGGACCTGTTTCTGTGCTATGATCAACTTGCTGAATGGTCTGGTTTAAACAGTTACTGTGCACTTGCTTCTCATCACAAAGGTAAAAATGAGTGTGTGCTTTGAGACAGAGAAGGATCACTGCATCTGCATCATTTATCAGACGGAGATTCTACAGAGAAATAAATAACAGATGGTTCAGAGATCTTCAGCATGGCCTTTTCGCATGAGTGACACACACAACGACAAAAAGCTTCCATCTCCAATCAGAAGTGCTGGTCTTCATAAATAATGCAGTGAGTGCTTGTGGGTACTAAAGAGCTTTTTGGTTTCCTGGTGCACAGTATTCATGATACATTTTTCAGACTTTGTTCTGTATCCTGTTACTTTGCAATTACTGTGAAGTTTTATTTTCAAAACAACAACCACAATCTTGTGTTTAACTCAATGAGTGCTGCACATTTGGATGGTCATAAACAATAAACATCCTGAAGGCATGCCTTTTTACAGTTACTAAGGTGTGGCAGGATGCTTGCTCACTAACTGACATTAAGTATTGCCATCAAACACCTGTTCAAACTCAGCCCTGTCTTTCACCCTACCTGTAAAAACATTAGATAGGTCCAAAATTGCACCAAATGTCAAGAGAGTTATGGGATTTGAATAAACAGTTTAGCAGCAGAAATATGTAGGAGCCTGCATTATATTATGATTTTACAGTTTGATTGAGAAGTGTGTTACTGCCCATTTTTACAGTCTATGTAGAGACAAAACATTATATTCTATACCTTCCTAAGGGGAGGTCAGAGCACAATTGATTTGTCTTTTGGACACTTCTGCAGGGTGAAGATCTGCTCTCACAGGGGCTTGAATGCAATAATTCAACCTTGCACCTCAAATGCTGCTTTTAAAACTACTGTTTTATACATATATTATTTATTAAGGAAACATTTGTTATCAGTATTTTCAGGCAGCTCTGGTTTCTCTTGGACTTTTTTTCTACGAGCTTCATTTTGTTATTCGATGCAATTCTTCCTTCCTGCCACTAGAGGTAGCTTAAACATTAGAATCAGACAGACAGAAAGTGCACTTTCTCTTTGGCCTTAAAGTATGATAATCAATACCTGAATCAGCACTTCAGCCTAATTAAATCAAGCTAGACTCGTGTACAATCAGTATTTACTTGACAACAGAAATATTTTGTGCAATTTCAACAGATAAGAGAAAGTACATTACAGTATCCACTGGCTGCATACATCAGGAGGTGGTTTACTCTGATGTTTCTGAGTCAGCAAAAGAGACCACACAACACACATTACAAGGTTCTTTTACCCTTTATGAAAAAGGGTGTACATAAAAGTTTCGCACAAGTGGGTTTTACATGTTTGGCCACTATACAGTTTTTACACATCTACAGTCCCTGGACAGGCAACACCTGCAGTGCCTCCTTCAGGTAATTTTGTTGTTTTCGAGCTGGTATCCTGTCCAGACAATAATGAGCAGCTAATTACTTATTAGCAGTATGTCCAGTCCATACTAAAGCTAAAACAGATGTACCAGCCAATTCTTGTCCTAGCCTCTATACATCCTAGACAATATGCCACTGCGGGATAACAGTGATGGAGCATAACATGCCATTGTAATGCATGGGTTGGAGGGACGCCTTCGCAGAGACAATCTCAAGTGGTGTCACTCTGAATTTGCTCAGTCAGCAGAGTGGTGTCCACTGTCTGGGAAAGCAGAGACAAGAGACTGAGAGTTGCTGAAAAAGGCAGATGAAGTTCTTAAGAAGAGGAATGATGCTAAAATCAAAACCTTATTTACTAGTAGGGAATAATAACGAGGCCTTTGCTTTTCCTCAGTTTGATAACTAAAGTATGATTTTGAACAGAAACACATGAACTTCATAATATAATACTAAGATATCACATCATGTAATAATAATAATTATAATAGATATATTTAATGATGGTTAGCATGCACAAACAATGATTTCCACTTGCTGTCTTTACAAGTTAAAACTTACTTTTTTTAAATTAAAAAAAGCATTTGTGTGTGGTGGTGATGAAGGACTCAAGCCTAGTAGTAGCCTATAACACAATATAAGATTAGATTTAGAGTAGATTTAGGACATTTATAGTGCTTTCCAATGTAATTCTCCATAACTATAACCCCCTTTGTAACTAGCACCTAGAACTGATTTATAAACAGTTAATTAATGCTTGATAAAACATGAGGAATCATTTTTAGTTTTAAGTCCATCTTTGAATGTTAGTTTATTGTATAAACAATTAATAAACGCTTTTTAACATGTTACTGTGTAATTATATATAATTATATATGACTACAGATGTGAGATCAAGCATTTATGAAAGATGACAAATACATCAATTAACACTTTCCAAATGTCCTTATATTTGCTTAAAAGTAAGTAGTGTACTATAAACCATTTGCTTATAAATGGTAAATATTGGGAGTGCTATCAATAAAATAAAAGAAGAAGAAGAGACTTAACATTAACAATAGCCAGCAGTAGCCACAGAGGGAATCTTACCCCTGAACCTGGCAGTTTTGATCCCATGAACTACCAGGGGAGCAGTACAGGTGTATACCTTTTCTTGTTAACAGTTTTCAATGTAAATCAATAATGTATGCTTGCTGGCAGGCTCAGCAGTGCTTGATTTTGCGGACTAGTACACCCAGCAGTAGGCAGGCAGGCAGGCAGCTGGGGAGCAATTTAGCTGCATTGTGATGATGAGCCTCTGGCCAAAGAAGACAATAATTAACAGGGGTAAGGAAAGACTATCACCTGGCATTAAAATATTGTATGTCTAAAACTGGACTGTTTATGGGACAAGAAATGTGGAAGTTATGTTACAGAGGTTTCTGAAATTATTTTCAAGTGTCCTTCTGGTCATCTTAAGGGTTTAAATATTTTCAATAGTTGGTATACACCTTTTTAAAAATAATCTCCCTCGCTCTCTCTTTCACACACACACACACACACACACACACACACACACACACACACACACACACACACACACACACTTGCACTTACACACACAAGCATACATAATTTAATATATCCACACACCTCTGCTGCCACCTGCCATCACCTTTCTCCATTTTTACTATTTTTAAATGAGAAATTTCATTAGCTATTAAAATGCCATCACAAGACATATGTGGTGATTTTGGCCATGGCAGGAATCAACTGTGGAGTGAATGTAAGCCCCTCCACATGAACCACCTAATTAACCAGGCAAGCAGGGGTAGAGGTTTACGCTCGGTGCAATCCAGCTTAATTGCGTTTTCACTTTCATGATTAAAAGCTGGATCTGATATAATCATGTAATGCTCAGTGGGTGGAGTACAGCACTAACACTGCCATGGTGATTTGCAGTGGGCCCATCCAATAGCACAACCTCCGCAAAGGTTTTACTGTAAATTCCATGCTTGTCTTCCAGTGGTAAATATCATAAATCAAGGATGTCCAGAGTATTCCAGAGTTGTTTGTGCAGTACAGTACATGCATACAGTAGTGTTATATACTGTATGTTTATGTTTTATCTACTTTATCTCTTGTCTACTTCTGTCTCAGTTATTGACTTCCTATTTTTCCCCACAATGACCTCCAGCATCTCACAGAGAATTTAGCCAGAAAAGGGAGTGACAATTTCCTGTCGAGATAAAGCATGTTATGTTCCCTAAACACAACCTCTTCCAGCTGTAATGCATTATGGATGGATAATTGGATATATCTGTTTCCTTTATGATGGATTTCTCCTTGCACGCTCCTATCAATAAAGAAAAGTCTTCTTCTTAAAAGGAAAAAACAGTACAGAAAAAAATTTATCTTTTTAGTCAATTTTGCCAGATTATACTCAAGAATAAATGAATAAATCCAGTATTCTTTTAACAGATAATAACAGAATATCACAATATAACTGCTAAATGGCACAGGTAATTAACATGCTATTCATGTTGTTTCCTGTTTTATTCAGTGTTATCAGTCATATATGAGCTCATTAACTGACTTTAAATTAATCTTTAATATATTAATTAATGACTTAAATAGTCATGACCCTGACTGTTTCATCTTAGCTTTGCCTACTAGGAAAATCTGAGAAATGCCTCTTGGGGTGAGTGTGGGAATGAGGGGGGGAGGAGAAGTCTTTCCTTAACATATTTTCGGAGATAATTACTTTAACAGGTTTACACTAGCACATTTTGCACAGTACATTCTCTAATTAGCCTGGTCATGCTAAGTGTTTTGAGGCAGTATCCACTTAATAGAACCAATAACGGCCAACTGTTTTTTCAAAGTCTTAGACTGTGGGCCTTCACTCTGACAAAGCTTGGGAAAAGGCGCCCTTTATAACGGAACAGTCTTCACTGGTAAGACAGCGAACAAACCAACCACCAAACAGTCGAATTAATGAAGCTCTAACTGGTATTCGTAACATTATTTACATTACTGTAAAGTGTTACTAAGTAGGCCTAATGCATTACTGACCAACACAATCAGTTATCTAAGCAAAAGAGGAGCTTTGAAGACAAAGTTAAAATTTATGTTAAACTCCCAATTGTCATTCAATAAATAAATAGCTTAAATACTTCTCCCATAACTGCCCCATGCCTCCATGTCAAGGCATCAAACTGAATAATGCCTGAAAGCATGGTATTATAAGTCTGACAAGTGCATTGATTGAAACTCCATCCTCCACTTTATTCTGTTATATAATGTTGGACATGACAATCACAAGCAAGCTACATTTCACCACACATCCATTAATACCGATGGCATACATTAAACAAAACTATTTGATTGCCGCTAACGCTTAACAGATCTACCCTTGGGAGTCCTTCAGTGGAGCACAACACTGTTCATTAACTTCTCTGTCACTCTTGTAATTGTGTGTTTTGCGGATTACATTGTGTGTACAGTGGGGCACAAAACCACTGACACACAGGAAATTGAGGTTGTATTGACACACAAGCAGACACACACCTGCAAGCGTGAAGTTTTTGCTTTTGGCCCGTACAGAAGCTAAAATAACAGTGACTGTAGTTTAACCTCAAACTGTTCTCTCTTTCCTTCAGGCCACCCCCATCACCTCACATAGATAGACACTGCTAGCAACAACTGTGAGACTCCTCTTCTACCTTTTCTAACCTTTTCAAATGTGAGAATGGCGTTTTCTCGAGATTCCTCTCAGCTAAACTGAAGATTTGAAGATGAAAATAAAGCACTGCTGCTCATTCAGCTGAGATACATTCAGAGGCTGCAAAGCTCACTCAGCAGTCTATCCTACTTATTAAATCTGCTTATTTCACATGAAGTAGGATAACTTCTTGCACTAACCAGCAACTTGAAAAATATGCACAATGAATTAGGTCCAGTCATTACTCACTCATGTCCTGTTAAAGGAGATGTACAGTCTTACAAAAGCAAGGCCACCTGACAAGGTTTCTGTATCTATCAGAATGTGATGGGAATGTCAAATGAGTCTGGCTACAAGTTACAGTATATGCTCAAATCTACCCTGTGATGCTGTGTAAAGAAAAATACATCAGTAAAATGTTATATTGGCCTGAGTCTCCCAGCCAAGCTGGAGGGCAAAGGCAGATATCAACAGCTTTGATGTTTACCTGTTAGACAATCATGAAGGCCGTTTTTGGCTCTCTGCATTTCATTTCAAATGCTATCTCCATTGATTTCAATGGTTGTGATGTCCGGTTTTGTCAGTGAGTTAAAGGGGCAATATGTAGTTTTTTAAGGAAATCACTTATTAATAAAGCAAATTTCCCTTGCCTTATTGTCAACGGGCTGTAGCCTCACTTAGAAATGAAGCACACGCCTGTTTTCTCTGTTGCTTGGAATAGCCACTATTCTCACTATTCTGCTTAAAATGTGAGGACACCGGGTCGGGATGTAGCCCTGTTTGAGTTCCTGAGCCTCTCTCTGACTACTGTGACATCACCGCAGCTAGCGAAATGCAGTCCACTAACACCACAAAACAACCTGCTCCCAGCACAACACAGACTCCCACGTAAGGATACAAAACAACAATAAAGGTTTATGTGCTGAAGCCCGTCAGGCCAAACGAGAATCAGATGATGTTGGTGAAAACGGTGAACATCAGAAAGGCTGGAGAAACACGAAGAGAGTCACGTTAGCTCGCCGGCTAACCCCTTGATTGATAAAATAAAAAATAAAAATTAGGTATGATGCAAATTAGCGACAACATGCATAAACGAGAAACCAGTGCTTGCAAAAGGTTCCCAGGTATGTATTGAATATGCACAAACAGCCATTGGGGAAATACGTACGCTATCTCAGCTGCAGTTTGAAAGGAAGTGGTGTGATGCGAATTTGCGACAATTGGCGTTAAGGGGCTAATGCCGAGCAGTTGCTAATGTTATCCGGTGCAATATGTAACGTTATGTCTTTCCATATTACTTCACCAGTTAACGTGATCCACATTACTATCCTGTGTACCATTGGTATTATTTCAAAGTGTTGATTTAGAAAGGATGTAACTGTACAAAGCAAATGCAGAACAATTTGTTTACTAGCCTATAGTGATGCAAGGCAGGAGCAGTCAGCTATTTTATCATGGATCTACCACTGTTTTCTCCGTAATGTTCAATTTAGATTTATTGATGTTTTACCGATACTCAGGTACCCAGCTTCTCCACCTCTCAGTCTCTGTAACTTGTGTGACCCACATTATATACAATAATGCAACATAACAGCAACACAGTAGAAGAACCATCACTGTTATGAAATGCAGCAACAGTCTCGTTTAAAAGAAATGAACAGAAAAAAATATCAATTGGAAAAACTACTTAAATTAATAATTAGTTGAAATCCTACTAACTTAGTAGGGGTGGTGAGACATATTGCCACTGCAATTTGTATTATCACTAATCAAATAATAATTTGTGAAGTGTTTTTGACTGCTACTGAAGAAGTTGCTTAAACAGAAAGGCATGTTTGCTTGCTTTGGCTTTGTTACTGAAAGTTTCTACATCCAATGATTTCTTTCAGGCAATCTGTCTCCACCAGTTTCATTACCTTTTATAACAAGCTGCCAAGTGCCATTTATGAATATGGATCATGATTTCATCTTTAAACTGCAGAAATGTTTCTGCTTTCATTTTAGTTTCAGAGGGACAATGAAGGGACACTGTACAGTGGCTTTTCTTCCATCTGAGCTGACCACGAATAGATCCCAATTTATCAGAATGGATTGCAGTTAAGGGCTTCAGATGACAAATGGCAGCAGAGCAGAACATGATTATGAAGGAAATGAGGGCGAATGACCCACCCTGAATTATTTTGCATCAGGAGGCTACAGATGTCCGAATGGGCCTCTCTATTGTGCTGTTGCCATGTTGTTAGTTCACACAATACAAAATCACATCAGGATACTCAAATCTTGATAGTAGCTCAAAAACCAACAAGAGGAACATGAGAACAGGAGAAAACAAAGTGTGCAAAAAAAGAGAAAAGAAAAACCATTAAGAGGGAGAGAGAAGAACCTGATGAAGATCAGTGTGATGGAAATTAGTTTTTTGGGTGCTTTATAATGTTGAAAATCTCTCTCTCTCTCTCTATCTCACTTTCTAAATAAATGTATGTGTTTTACATACATTTTTACATACATACGTACATTTAACATACTGAAAAATGCACTACAGACAGTTAAAGGCCCAAAGTCAGTCTGAACATGGATATATTGTGAGGATTACAAAAAAGCTGGCAAAGAACTGCAGTTCTTAAGCTCCTTTTGCAGAACAAGACATTCACAAATCAAGTATGCATCATTGGATCTGAGCTCTAAATCACAGTGTGACTCTGGATACTTCCAGCTGATCAGAATCAGAAGAATGAAACCTGATGAAACCTCAGATCCTGGCCTTAAATCGTATTAATAGAAAGTAAATATTATAAACTCTGATTGATTATAAAACCATTCTGCTCTTTATTGGTTAATTGACAACCCAAACCAGGTGCATGTATACCAAATGGCATCTGTGATTAGTCCTCAAGCATGGTGGAATGAGAAACTGCTGGCTTTAAGCACTGTCACGTGATTACAGTAAGCCATGAACTGTGGCTTAAGGCAAGACACTGACAAGTTAGGTTTACAGCATATGAACCTTACCGATGCCTGGAAGCATCACTGGGCATGGCCATAACAGCACTGAAAAGTAAAGTAAAAATACTGGAAATAGGAAATGGATGGGAATAAAATTCTAAAATATACAAGGTAACCATTTGCATTTTGTGAAAAGTCAATGAACGCATATACAGATTTAAATGAAAGTGAATATGTTTTCATTTGATATTGAACAGTAGTTCACAGGGATAAAAACCAGTCAAAGTCTCAGTGAAAGGAGGATATGAACTCTAGATGGCAGTCTTGTTTGAACAATCTTTACTCCTCTGACGTAAAACAATTCTATTTTCAGCCAGCAAGTCTAGCAAAGCTGGAGTAACCAACACTAATTACTGTAATTGCAATTGTTTACTTTCGTTATGTGATGCTGATTGAAACTGAGTTCACCTCCCTCTGAAACCCCATCAGGCTTTCATTTTCTTCAGGCTCCAAATCATTCGCACAGCTTTCTGTGGAATGTTAAACATGCTGGATGAGTTCAGTCTCAAAGTAGTCTAGTGAAGTGGCTGTGTCTTGGATCACTGTCACAGGTAACCTTAGAACTAAAGAACACACAAAGTGGTACTAAGATGACCTGGGAGGGATGAAGAGCTGATTTTCTCCTGCTTTCACCTCTTGGCCAGGATTACGCTATTTCTTCACAATTCGAACTCTTGCTCACGGACCTTTTTGGCTTGGGATCTCTTTAAAGGGAATAACGTCCATTTATTGTATGACCCCCTGATCACAGGTTGTTATCTGTGTCTGTCGCCGCTAACACATACAGACACTTCCTAGATTGTTTCATTTGAATAATTATCAGAGGCTTATCAATTGTACTGGAAAAAAGGAGTAATCAGAGAAAGTTTGTTAGGCAGAAGTATGTTTTACTCCTTTCCTCCTTTCCTATATTCCGTTAATCATCTTGCATTCCATCTTTAAACCCATTAAGGAGTAGTCACTGCATTAGCACCTACAATATATTGTACAATGTACATTATAGCAGATATAGATTTTGGTTTATTTTGGCAATGACGATATCTATATCGTATATATATATATACATACATACTGATATTTGAGAAATATCAAAAACAAACTACCGCACACTGATTTGACTTACTTTATTTGCACAGGATCTACTTAACACACCTGTAAGTGCTTTTGTAATTTCGCTGTGTGAGCCTGAAGAAGCAATGGGCGAAACACGTTGCTCACAAATAAAGTAGTAAGTCAGATCAGTGTGCGGTAGTTTGTTTTTGATTTTTCATAGATTTATCCTGCTATCTACCAGCACCTCATTGTGTTGCTGTGCTCTGGGAATTTTTTGTTTTTGTTGCCACTGATATTTGAGAGTTTAAAAATAAAGATAACAATATATCGACTTTTCTTTTTACATAATCACACAACATTAAAAAAACATTAACAACGAATCTGTTGTTTTAAAGTACTTTGGGCTTAGCACCAGCGGGATGGGGCTGGAACCTACTATACGCACAGTGGTGCTTTGAGCTAAATGCTAACCTCAGCATGCCAACCTGGTGATGTGAGGCAGGCATCATATTATACTGTTAATATTAACTACAAAATTAGAGTTTCAGCAAATGAATGTGACATGGCAATCCATCAAATAGTTTTTGAGACATTTCAAAACCACAAATGTCAACCTTATGATGGCGCTAGAGCAGTGGTTCTCAAACTGGGGGGTGAACCACTGCAAGGGGGTGTGGCTGACCAGAGTGTAAAATATAAAATAAATATAAATAAAAAAATATATAAGTTAAATGAACATGATTTATGCAGGGAAAGAAAAAAAACAACACAGCTTCTGGCTATCATGCTAACATGAATCATTTCTTTCTTTCAATCAAATTCAACTGGACTCCTTTTTTATTTGTTGCTCCCCCAATATTATTAATGATTGATAAAAATTCAATCCGTTTACTTGTAGTTAGGGGAGGGGGTGCGTGGGGGTTTTTGAAGGGGGCTGTGAAGGAATAATTTATGGGTCCTGTGACGCAGGTTTCCCCAGGTCAGACTAAGGTCAATTGCTGAACTCTCTCTGCTTGTTTGTCGACTGACTGATGCAGCTGAGTTGATAAGGATGCACTGTTATACATTTGTTAGGTAACCCAAGGACAGACCGTCTGACTATCTCCACATAGAAAGGGCTGCATGTGGCTGTAATGACACACAGCGTGTCTTGATTTGAACCAATAACCAACAGACTCTTCAGAGAAGGGAGGGACTGTAAACTTATTTGGATATGGTTTTGTAAGTCTTCATCAGTCTCCGAAACTCCTTCATCACACCTGAAATTGGTTTTAACAGCCGCCATGACAGAAAAAGTTTGAGAACCACTGCAATAGAGGAAAAGTCAGGGGATTACCAAAGAATTTTAAAATGTATTGTCTGAGAACCATAAATGTCTGCTCAAATTTTGTACCAATTCATCAGTTAGACGTTCAGATATTTCAGTCTGGAGAAAAGTAGTGGACTGATTAAAAGACAGCTCGATTCCACCCATAGATCTGCTCAGCTAGCATGACTAATAATCAACTTGACTGTCTGGTGGACTAACTAGTATTGGCTGATATAGCTGTCCGGTCTAACTCCAGTTAATGAATACAAAAAAATGTAGTTTCCGTTTCTGGGGAAATAAAATACATTTGTATGTGATACAATACTTCTCAGGAGAAATAGAAGACTTGCTCTAGATCCCCAAGTGTTCATGTTGATAATATATATTCTCCTTTCGTATCACCCCTTATTCCTGTGCAATCATCACTTGTCTGCTTAATCATTTCTGCTAGTCTTTTCACCTGTCTCCCATCTTTTATTCATTTTGCCGTCAGCAAAATGACAGAGGCAAAGGCGGAGAGAAACAGAAAATGGACAAAGGGAATTAATTTAGGGGGGAAAGGGATAGAGAGACAGAGGAAGGTGCATTTCACTGAATCCCCTTAAAACAATACAGCTGAAGATGTGAGGGCATGAAGAAGAATATCACGGAAATGTCTCGATGAATTCCCCACCCACTTGTGGCAGCGTGTACACCTCCCAGGTCTTGTGGAGTTTGGGTCCTGCGTTTGTCATTCTTCGCCACACATGTCCTTTTGATAAATGGTAAGGGCAGGCAGGAGGGTAAGTGAAGATAAAGCAGAATAACACTCATTTGTATTCTATTCATCCAAACATGCAGTTCTTACAGAGAACAGAATTTTAAAAAAGCCTCTTACTTTTGGTATGTAAAGGAGGAGCCATTGCATTGGCACTCTAGAGAGAAGTTTGGCAAGTTTGAAGAATAATACCATTTAAGAAATATTAGCCTCTGAGTCCTTTGAAACAGGACAAAAGCCTAAGATGCAACCACAGGAATACAAATGTTAGGCACAGCTGATCTGTTTTATGTATGAGCACTTAAATTTTAATTTTAAACTATTGAAAGACTCAATAACTCAGGACTAACTTCAGAGCAGTCTACCTCACTTAACATAAAGAGCCATACTACTGTCCTTAATGGCCTGGAGCTGTTTACTGGGCTAAAAGCAGAAGAAAGTGTGTACAAGACGCTAATAAAGTAATGTTCCTTACTCTCAATTGAAACACTAAGTAAACACAAATTGACTCCTTGGCCACTGACCACATTCTCATCCATAATAAGATTTATCTCAATAAAGGTACCTTGTTCCATCATCTATTTTGCCCAGAGTCTGTGAGACTGAGTGACGTGAAATAAACCTGCGTATGCAGATTGTCTAGAAAGTGACAGTGAGATTAAAAAACAATTCTGTGTGAACCACAAATTGAAGCACAAAGCATCTGAAAAGCAATTCACTGGTGAAGCATCACAGGTGACTGGAAATGGTGACAGGAACCTCAGAACTTAAAAACAAGTTTCCTTTTCACCAGGAAATATCTTTGTCAGATGTCATTAGATTTCAAACACAGGTTTAGCACCGCAACAACAACAAACTGACGCATATACCGTAGGTTCATGTACACCAAGTCCAAAGGTTGTAGGAGGGAGAAACTGCAAGCTAAAGAAAAATGTTACGTCAATGTATTTGTTTTGTGATCCAGAATGTTCTCACTTGAATTCATTTAGATTTTACCTCTAAACCTGTTGTTTGTAATTCAACATAAAAAGTGATGTTTATTCTAGTGCTCTCATGCAAATGCTTTGATTGTTTTGTAGCATATAGCGGGCAATCGGGAGCAGAAACGCTGGATTTATGATGGAAGAGACAGCGTTGTTTATGGTGGAGACAAACATCAAGCCTGTAATATTCAGGGTGCAAGGGTAGAATTAAACCAGTGATTTTTGAGTGACAGGACTTTGAACATGTTTACAATCTAAATTGCCTGTAGTCTCTCTCTCTCATTCTCTCTCTCTCTCTCTCTCTCTCTCTCTCTCTCTCTCTCTCTCTCAGCAGAATCCAAATAAATAAATTAATGGAAGAAGAGGTTAACTCTGGCTTTGGGTGAATAAGCTGGAAATTAGCCATGTGGCACAAGTGTAACATGTTTAATAATGCTTCCACTTGCCAATTACCAAAAGTCTGTATTTATGTACTTTGGTTCAGTGTTCTGCCACTTTAAAATAGTGGTTGTCCTTAAGGGAATGACGCACATTACGTTCTTACCAGTTTAACATTCTCATTTAGGCTATGATGCTAGCTAAGTTAGCCAACTACCAAGCTGTGTGTGTGGTAACAAGTGTTTTTATATATCTAGTGCCATCATTGTCGAGGATGAATGTTCAAGTCCAGTAACCGCACTGTTGGTCCATTATCAGGTACGTTTTTATGCTGCAATCAATATAGTTAGTTATATACTTTTGCTCAGTTTAACTTACCTTTGGAAGCGTATCATCTTTGCCGAGGATGAATGTTCAAGAACAGTCCAGTAACTGCACTGTTTGTCTATTATCAGAATAAAACGACTCAACTGGGTATACTAGCCTGTAGTACATAACACAGTGCAAAGGAGTCACACAAGGACAGAAAGAAGTAGAAGCTATTATTGGAGCAATGAAGGGAGACTTCAGTCAGTTACACAAACATTTACTGAAGGATTATACAGTATGCCTGAGTAGACACATGCACATGTACAGTCACAGCTGCCCACGCGCGCACACACACACACACACACACACACACACACACACACACACACACACGGTATCACTCAAGAGGATAGATCCTGACAAGCATGTCTTTAGCCTCTTAACTCTCCAGAGATCTACTAATAAGTGGAAATGAAAACTTGATTAGAAAATTACTAACCCAAACTTGTTCAAATTGTATGACACGCTTGAGTTTTCAAAATGGAGAATTAGAAATTTCCTGAAGCTTGGGAATTTTATTCTACATTATGTAACCAGAGAGTTGCAAATACTGCAGCTGCATCCTCTCTGGGCTGCCAGTACCTCTCTATTGAGTCAAGTGTGCCCTGTCCAATCCAGGCTCAGAGGGCATCCTTCTTCATTTTCTTCATCCCCCTTGGGGCGCCACCAGAAGGTGGTGGTTGCTTATCATGGTGCTGCCATACATTACCACCTTCTGGCATCCTCATTTTGCAGCAACAGCAGTGTTTTTTCAACCATCTCTGTTCAGACTGTGAGGCTTTGTCAGGATACAGCAGAATCCTGCTTAGAGGTGACAGTGGAAGTCAAAAATGCCTTTCAGTTTTTGCTGGTTCCAGGTTCTCTAATGTGACAATTTGCTCCTTTTCTCTTTTGCAGGGAATGTTGATGGTCACACCCCAGTCAAACAAGAGTCTGAGAAAGCACAGAACACCAAGCATACGTCGGTAGCTTGTTTGAAGTGGAGCAGTCTCTAGTTGAAGCTGTACTTGTGCTCTCCTTGTCTATTTGAATCCTTTTAAGATCAGTAAAGGCTTCTTAAAACCCTCAACCTGAACACACCAAGAAGGTTCTTTATTTTATTGGCCTGATGCTGAACATTTTGGCCAACAGAGGCATGAGGCCTGAGGTTAGCGAGGTGACACAGAAATCAATAAGACAGCCGTCACACCCCACAAGAGTCCAGCAAATTATAACAAATTAAGAGGGGTCACAGCAGAGACAACTGCACACACATGCATGCACATAGCCATGCTAGAGATCTAGGTGTCATCCTCAATGTCTAAATATTTTTTCTAATTTAGGGATCTGGTTTGATATTTGCGTACTTTTGACTTGAACTTGAAAGCAGCATGAAAGACCATATTTCCCCAACCTCCTTACTAACTAAGGGAAATAACTGATCTCATGTGGAACAGAGAATGAATAGTCTAACTGGACTCAGAGGTCAGAGGATATCATTTAAAATGCTCACTAAAACCAATAAGCATAGCAAACATGATAGGTGGGTTGGGCCATAAGAGGAAAAAAGTTGAAGAACAGATAAAGAAAGACATGTAAAGAAGAGAGACGCAACACATAACAGAAACAAGCAGCCAGTGATAGATGCAAAATAAAAACAGTGTTTGTTGTGTGGACTACGCCCTCTCTTCCCTACAGCTCTGATAATCAGCTGATTAAAGACCAGCTGAGTCTTCATAGCAGCTTCATGGGTTGACTGATCCAGGTCTTGATAAGGAAGCTTTTTAATATGGCTGGGCAATATGGCTGAAATCAATATCCTAATATAATTAGACTGTTTTTCCTCCTAATATTGATATACTGTACTTCACAAAATGGAAAAAGGTACACCACTGCCAAAACTAGTTTAGCTGAGACTGAGAAGTGATAGGTTACATAATTCATAACTTAAATATTTAAAAGCTGAACAGCGAAGCGATGCTGGGCTGAGCGGGGTCTACACTCTGCTCATAGAAGTAAACAGGTGAGGCTAGCTTCCAGGAGCCAAACTCTCGCACGCTAATTTTCAGCTTTCTTTCAAACTCTCAAAAGAAAATCAGTCTTAACAAAACTAGTATCTGGTCTAGATCCTCAATATTCATGCATAAACAAAGGGACCACAACAAATACTATCTCAAATTGAAACACAATCTTGTTTACAGAACTTCAAATGCAATTTGAAACTTGATGCTGTGCTGTAGCCCTGGATTAGCAAGCTTGCTCTATAGCCAACACTGTATGTACTGTAAATCTGTGTAGCTACCGCTAGCCATCATTAGCTATGTAAGTTGTTGTGGTGACAGCGATATAACAACTTAACCTTTTGTGTGACATATTTAAATCATCTAGGATTTTTAAAAAAAATGCTTTAAAAAAGTCAGTTTAACAGTTGGGGGAATTCCATCCAGACCCCCATTGAGGGTTGGGTTGCAAAAGGCATACATAAAAAATATGTAAATGGTTAAATTAAATGAATGCCCAGCCCTACTTGTTACTGTGTGCTTGGACTGGACATAATGTGAATTTTAGAGGTGGTGCGATTGCATACAAAAGTCATCGCAAATGCTCCAGTTGAAAATGTTCAAAATTGAGAAAATAATGTGCATATCTTGGGGATTTATTTATTATAATCCTTTTCATAAACATAAAGAAATGAGAGGACAGTTTTTGGTGAGTTCTGAGATCTGTCAGTCACACTACCATACATAGGGCATCCATTGCTAGCTAGCTTACAGCTAATGTCTGTACAGTTGGTACATAAGCTATGCATTTATGTCAGTGACTATACAACCCTAAGTCAGTATACACACACAATGTCTGTCTCACACACATTTCACTTTCACTTCAGCACACAAACAAATAGCAGATTGGGAATTATGGGACAACTGTGAGTTGTTGAAAACTGGACAGATTCCTGGGTATTTCCAGTTACTGACTGGACTGTTTCAATCATCCCAAATCCAAACATTTAAAAGCCTCCACTACTCCACAAAAAGCTGTGGTGAAAAAGGGGGATGAAACAGACAGACAGATACACGTCCAGGGCAGAAATAAGGTAGAAATAGGACTCTCTCTCTGTGTGACCACATTTAACAGAAGAGACCAAATTACTGATAGGGCTATCCCAATCATATTGTATGCTAACTTAGGTTTTAAAAATTCTAATTCCATACCTGAGCTGCAAGAATCTAACTCTGCTAAGCGAAAAAAAAAATCGCCATCAGCTGATTTTCTATATAATAATAATAATAATTTGTAAGAATGAAGAAACAGTGATATAATAGATATCATATTAGCTATTACTCATTTATCTTGCTTGATGCTGGGCAATTACTCAATGCATAGCTACTATTTTATGGTGTATCTCATATTTTGGCTTGCTGTTGCCAATGCAAGGATAGTATTGGAAAGTCTGTCACATACTCCTTTATGCGGTCTCACACCACTGCACCCTTGTGAACTCACGGAGCCATTCTGAGCACTCCGGTCAACATCAGAATACATAAAACTATAGACAATGAGGACTCAGTCTGCCAGTCCACTGTGTGCATATTTGGATTCAGCTGTTGGGAATTGGTGAAAGTTTTTCCACTGAGGAATGTCAGCTTACTGCACTTTGGGGGTGTATGAAAGATGGGTAACCATATTGAATACCATGAGATAATGGGGCTAAACTCCATTCTTGACCATCTTACATTGCCATTCGTAATTACCATCCAAAGATCACTATTAGCTATTTAGAAGACAATATTTTTACTTTAAGTTTATGTGTAAATTGACACGCTGTGACCACTTGGTAACGGGCGCCCCGATACCGGGGACGTAATCGATGTTCGCTGTTTTCCATTCACAAACAGCGGTCCTTTACGTGTCAACAGAGACCGTCTGGCGGGCCGCCATCTTGGTGAGGTCAGTTTAGCTGGTAAATTACATTTCTGTCTTGACTGAAGATCAATTGAAGATTGAAGTAGAGAAGAAGAGTTTCTTTTCTCTGCTGGCGACTCGAAGGAGCTACACAGATTTAATGAAACATACACTGAAAATGGAGCAGAAACAACATCTATCATTGAACTTCAAGTCAGATGACTTAGAGGTATTTGTGACCTCCGTCGAGAAATTCAAATGCACGCTTATCTCGGGAGATTAAAGATAGAGAGTGGGCTAAAATAGTAGACTCTGCCACATGTCCGGCATCCAGCGGAGCGCTGATGCTGTCAAAAAGAAGTAGAAGAAGAAGAAGAAGTCCTTTGACAGTGATATGACGACACAGGCAACTGTTGTGTCCAAAGAGCGGATGAAACCACTGGTGGCTCCTCCTGTGCTCTCTCACTGACCCCGGCAGAAGGCTACTTTTCTCGGGAAATTCAATAGTGTTGGTAAAATAAAATAGGCTAATAATAATAATAAAGGCTGCGGGAAAACATCATCATGTTTTTCATGTATTTCTTGAATTTAACGATCTCCTCCTATCAAAGCCTTGCATTAGGATCCTTTTGTTACATCAAGCCTTTACATTATGTTACATAATGAGAGCCTATCTAGCGTTACATCGCCTACAGCCTTTCTGAGTGTTTTGTCATCAAACACATCGGTAGAATCAATTAAGTTCAGCCTGTTGACATTTTGTTGATTTTGTAAAAGCAATTAAACAGCAACCATGTGGATTAAACGAGTTAGCAAACACTACCTGGTAGAAAAGCAAAGTTAGGACAGATTAACAAAGGAGAGTTTATTTACTATTTTACGAAGTTAGGATGCTTCTGTAATACACTTTTCTTATCTAAAGTTAGGAAAGGAATATTGACTTACGAACTGATAATCTGTAACAGCCTTTGTCCTAAATCAGTTCCTAACCCCTATTACCATGGTTACCAAGCAGTTAGGATAGGATCTGCTGGTTAGGAAGTTTCTGTAATATGTCCCCTGTATTAGAAGATATCCAGATGCATTATAATCTACATTATGATGGTTTTGATGGTTTATTGCATTAAAATATAGCTTTTTTTACCAGGAGAAGATGAAAATATCATATTTGTTCTGTATTGCATCTCCATGTAGTCAGTAATGGTAAAATAAATATGTTAATGTACAATGGATTTATATTCCTTAGCTTCTGACCTTTCAAAGGAAACCAGAATTATGCATCTAAGCCTAATGGTTGAGGAGATATTACTGATGTATTTTGGGTATATTATTTCCTCAAAATACGTGCCAGGGACCATGTGGTTAAATAGTCTTCCATGCTAATGTGAAAATTACAACATGTTCTCATACCTAAACGACAAAATAAGTTATTTGTCAGTGCCTCCCAAAATGACACATAAGAACATTTCCCGTACCAGTCCAGCCAACCCGTCCTCACATATGGATGCATGGTCAAGCCATTTAGCGTCATAGTTCAACACACTGGGAGAAGCCTTATAGCGTCACTTTCTTTTTTAACACTAAAACTAGGTGTAGTATATTAATAACAAAAAAGAATGGAGTATGGAGGTGGTTGGGGTGGAACCAGTCTTTCATCCAGAAGATGGGTGTTTATGAAACAAAAAGTCAAAATTCATTGTTTTTAGCTATGTTATGTGATGTTACTTAGCTTACGTAAC